CCTATTTCAATATTATCTGATTATTTTATGCATTTTTAAATGGAACTTTATAAAGTATAATTTTGATACTATAATCTCTTGTACATCTTTAAAACTCTTGTAAACTTTTAAAGAGTATGAGAAAGTTCATGTAAGAACTGAAAGAAAAAGTACTCTTCTTAAGCTGCTGTTTCCTTTTATCGTGTGTTTCCTTTTAACATGTGTCACTGTTCCCAGCTAGTTTGTACATCGCATGGAAACGGATATAGTTACATACTAACAACGAATTCAATTGAAAACTGCTGAAAATGTCCTATCGCAAATAATTTTTTATCCTGTTGAAACACAACAGCATGGAGAAAGTATGTGCATGGTGTTATCAGATCCCTTTCTTCACACCTTGAGACTTTACTCTGGAGTCTGTACAGGCTTCTGGATGTACTTGCCCACCCTCACCCTTTGCCTAGGGAGTACATTCAAAATTATGACTACTTAGTATGTACTTTTCTGGGGAATGTCCACAGCTTTCATCAGGTTTTCAGAACACTTGGCTGAAAGGAACCATTGCTAGGTAACCATAAATGTTCTGGGTTGATTTTTAAGGCACTGAGGCAGAAAGTTAAGAGCATAATTTTTTTTTTTTTCTGAGACAGAGTCTTGCTTTGTTGCCCAGGCTAGAGTGAGTGCCATGGCGTCAGCCTAGCTCACAGCAACCTCAATCTCCTGGGCTCAAGCGATCCTACTGCCTCAGCCTCCCGAGTAGCTGGGACTACAGGCATGCGCCACAGTGCCCAGCTAATTTTTGTATATATATTTTTAGCTGGTCAATTAATTTCTTTCTAGTTTTGGTAGAGACGGCGTCTCGCTCAGGCTCTTTTCGAACTCCTGACCTGTAGCAATCCGCCCGCCTCAGCCTCCCAGAGTGCTAAGATTACAGGCGTGAGCCACCACTTCCAGCCAAGAGCATAATTTTGATTGGGAAAGTACGATTTCTCTGTATTAAAGAGAAGTAACATTTTTGTATTATTTGAATTAACTTCATTTTGAAGATCTCTTATGTAGTTAAAACTACATGGGAGAGCACATGTATTTCCCAGGCAGCTGTTAAAATTTGGGATGCTGAACTTTGGTTGAAGGAGTTATTTTAGGCCCATCCTTAGTCAAGTGTTTATATCTCCCCTTCCCCCTTAGACAGTAGTACTAATTGGGGTTTGAAAGGAATAATTGGGGGTTGAAAGGAAGAGAAAACATTAGAGGGAACCCAACTAATTCTTGAGATAGGAAAGGATCAGAAGGAATAGAGGTATTAAATTTGACTACCATGTTTCCCCGAAAATAAGACCTACCCATAAAAGCCCATAAGCCCTAGCAGGATTTCTAAGCATTTGCACAATATAAGCCCTACCCCGAAAATAAAACCTAGTGATGGGCGTGGCTACACAGTGTATCTGCACAACCCATGCATTTCATTGGGGAGCGGTAAAGAAGACGAGCAGCCCTTCTCATTTGCCCTATGAGAGCTCTATTGCTCGACATGAGAGATTGGGGCCAATGGTTCTAAAGAAAATATAGTCGCAAGAAATTCAGGACGGAATTCAGGGTTTGGAGAGTTATGATGATATTCTAGAGGAGACGACTTAACTATATTTGAATAAATGTAGATTGTTGTACCATACTTAAAAAAAATAACACATCCTCTGAAAATAAGCCCTAAGGTGTCTTGAGGAAAAATAAATATAAGACCCTGTCTTATTTTCGGGGAAACACGGTATATGCACTGGTAGTTAATCTTAACCACCCAGATCAAATGTTATTTATTAAACCTGTTTTGTGACCAAGACAATCTAATATTTCAAATCTTACCCGTGTTTCTGTGGCACTCATTATGCTATATTGCAATTATTATATCTGCCTGCAACTTTAAGGCCTCTTAAGATCTTTGGATACTCAGTATCTAGTACTTTCCTGACATATAACAGTTCACTTACCTATTTATTGGTACACTGCCTGCATTGCCTGGGGAATGAGCGTAAGAAAAGAGTATTTTCTTAAGTATTTGTGGCTGAGGAGATCATAGGGTTTCCTCCTGGTCAATCCAGAAGATTTGGGCTCCAACTCTCGTGCCACCTAGAACTAGGATGGTAGGGAAGAAGCTTGTGCTTATTGAGCATGTGGGAAAGAGACCAATTTTCTTGATCATCCTAGATTGGGAGAGCATGCTTAGATTACTGAAAGCATATGGTGACATGTACACAGCCATTCTACAACTTGCAAAATACTTGCATTGTGCAAATACAAATTACTCCTTTGGTCAAAGAAAATAGTGTTTAGGAGGCTTCAGCCAGCAAGGACTTACCTATTTGATCTGGTTAGCTCATAGAAAGGTTGAAATGGCAACAGACTTTAACTTAAATTTTAGCTACTGCAATGAGAGCATTTTAAATGTGTGGGAGTTTTTGAAGATTAAGGATTAATGTTTCAAGGTGTGATCTTGAAGAGCATTTATTTTATGGGTAAGTCCTGGAAACCATCTAGAAAGACTGGTTTTATAAAAAATGTACAATATACATAAAATTTACCACTTTTTATGTGTACAGTTCAGTGACATTAAGTTCATTCACATATTGGGAAACTATCACTATCATCCATCTTTAGAAACTTAACCTTGAGCAACTGAAGCTCTGTACCTAATAAATTTTCTTCATTTCCCTCTTCCCCATCCCGTGTACTCTAGGAATCTAAGTGGAATCACACACTTGTTCCTTTGTGACAGTGTATTTCACTTAGCATGTCTTTAGGGTTCATCCATGTTATATATATATATATATATATAGTATGTGTCAAGATTACCTTGCTGTTAGAGCTAAATAATATTTTCCACATTTTGTTTATGCATTCATCTGCAGATGATACTTGGGTTACTTACACCTTTTGGCTATTGTGAATGACACTGCCATGAACACAGATGTACAAAGACCTATTTGGACTCCCTCTTTCACTTCTTTTGGTTATATACCCAGAAGTAGAATTCCTAGATCATACCTTTTCCACAGGGGCTGCACCATTTTACATTCCCACCAGCAATGCACAGGAGTTCCAATCTCTCTACAACACTTTAGCCCATCTTAATGGATGTGGTGTTTCACTGTGGCTTTGATTTACATTTTGTTATTGACTAATGATGTTGAACATCTTTTCATGTACTTATTGGCCATTTGTGTATCTTTTTTGCAGTAATGGTTATTCAAGTCCTCTACCCAGATTTTAATCAGGATTTGTTAAGTTGTAGTTCTTTAAATATTCTGGACATCAATCTCTTATCAGATGATTTGCAACTGTTTTCTCCCATTCTGTGAGTTGCCATTGCACTCTGTGGATAGCCATCTTGTCTACTCTCAAAACTGTTACAAGTAGGTAAAGAAAGGGAGCTCTGGAGGTTATCCATCTACTTGCTTAGGCTTAACAAACCTATACTCCTAAGACACTCTAAGGAGTCACAGAACCCAGTGTATAGTATCCTGTGACTAGTGCACACCTGACAATATGGATATTCTGGGTACAAAACATCCCCAACAACCTGCAACTCATCTGGGCCAAGGATGTCATGAGTATGTCAAGTGCCTATTACAGTGCTGGACATCAAGTGGGGACTGTAGAGTTTTTGAATAAATCACAGTTGAATGAGTCTCAAAAAATGCCAATTTTTACATTTTATGCAGTGACAAAGTACTGAATAGCACTTATTATAAAATCACAAACTGCATAAATGAATTGTCACATGTTACTTCATTTATTAAATACTGAGTAAACATTAACAGCTAGAAAATATTCTGGACAACTGGGGCTATCAGTGGACAACAGATAAATCACTACATTTGTGGTGCATTAATTTCATTCAGCCAGGGAAGACAAAATAAATAAATTGTGTCAATAAAGGAAAAAAATAGGGTTAAAGAGACCCAAGTGAATCTGCATTTTTAAATAGGGTGGCCAGAAGAGTTCCTTTTGAGCCAGGACATAACTAAACAGAGAATTGAAGGCATTAGCTATGGGATTTGGGGGGTGGGGAGTAGCAGAAGGAGCAGAGAGGGACAGGTAGTGGGAAGGCCTAACTTGGGAGCAGCCAGACAGACTCAGGTGCCACAAGGAGGCTAAGAGGGCTGGAGCAGAGAAAGGGTCAGTAGTAAGGGATGAGATCAGGAAGATCTCAACTAATTGGAGGCAGGGGAGAGAGTCCTACAGGGCTTTGTATGTTTTTGTAATGACTTGTGTTTTTTTACCCAGTGATTAAGCAAATTTATTTTACCCATGACTTAAAGTGAAGGTGAAGGATCAAATATCACTTTATCAGAGTTTATAAAAAACCAAAAAGAATGAATAAAAACTATCATATGGCTGTGGAAGCCCATTAAAGACAACCGAATACATGCAAGCAAGTTTCAAATATTTTATTTTCTTATTCATACAGTATGAAGTTTTCTAAAGATCCCACAACATGACGTATCATGCAGAAGAAAAACTAAACATTCAACATAAAACCACCCCCTCCCCTCCCCACCCCCACACACAAACTAAAAAAAAAAAAAAAAAAATTCATGGAGCTACAGCAGCACCCCACCCAATCCGGGCACCCTATTACTTGCTGTGAGCTAGGCTGATGCCATGACACTCTAGTCAGGGCAACGCGAGACTCTGTCTCAAAAAAAAAAAAAAAAAAAAAAAAGGAGAAAAGAAAAAAAACCCTCATTCCCCAGTAAGGAAATAATGTTTGCACTATTTTTCTGTAACGCCAGCCAAGATATGCACAAGCAAGAGAAATAGAAAGCATTTGCTAAAATATTTGTAACAAATACTTATGTACAAAAAATTCACAAAAGACTAGTTCCCCCTTGAAGCAGAGCACATGGCAGTTGACACTGGAACAGATCAAACCACTGGCTGGGATTATAAGCCACGTACTGATCCAGAGGAAGAAAGTTACATGTAGTGGAGATTTTCAGTTTGAACATTAACATTTCCAAAGTTTGGCAACATTATCTTTTAAAATTATGCAAATTATGTAAACAAGAGGTACATTTTAAATTGATCTACATGCAAAACTCCATGTCATGCAAGGACACCAAGCACCGGGATTTTTCTCTCACAGACAGAGCCCATGATGTGCAGCACTCAGTTGAAGGAACAGCGATGGCAGGCAGGTGTGCTCATTTAAGATTCATTCACCTTGATTCAACCTGCCCTTTTCCACTCATGATTATAAAAACCAGTTTTTATAGAAAAACTATGTAGGGAAGGACTACTGTCATACAAAGCTAACCAAAATGTTTTTCTTCCAGCCAATAGTACCTTTGCAGAAAAGGGAAGGGATAACATCAAGTGGTAGAACATGATATACTACTTTTATATCACACAAATTTATTAAGTTATCATCCATTACCAATTATATGGGCAAATCAAGGAAAAACCATCATGCATTCTCTATTCCTTATGGTAAGGAGAGGTATAAATTTGAATAGAATTTTGCTCTTCTGTGACATATAATTAGCAAGACTTCTCCCACTTAAATCACAAATATATGTGGGTGTTTAGATATATACATGCACATTAAATATCACCAGATTTTTAGATTTGCTGCAAGTATTTTGAAACACAGAAGGGAAATTCATGATTCAAACACAAGTTTAATGACAAATTATTTACCCATGTAATGAAACAAATGGATATCCTAAGTAGTTACATGATTACTTCAGGTATTCTTCATTAAGTAATGCTTACAATAAATCATGATTGCCTAAGACAGCTTCTGGCCTTTATGTATAAAATCACAACTGGTAACTGACATTTACTCAGGGACATTAATTAATAAATGCAATGGCTCCTAGTTACAAAGTAACAGAATGAAGCAGCCATAAGCACTGTGCAGTTACCATATGAACACAAGAACTAGCTCTTGGCAGTAGCACTGAACTTAAACTTTCTCCTCAAGCAGAGGTGTATGAAAAGCTGCTCAGCAATGAGACATAGTCCCTGGAAATATAATAAGTATAAATAAAGTTACAGACTCCTTGGTTACAAAAATGTAATTATGGTAAATAATAGGACATTAACAAATGCTTTGTCAATCTCTCAAAGGAGAAAGCACAGGAAAAGGAAAATAGCTGGCCTAACACCCGGCTCAAATTGTACAATCTTCTATCTATATATAAAACTGTGTGAAATAAAAGTAAGGATGTTTTATGTTCTGCTTGGCACTTTTGTACTCTATTGTTTTGTTTCTGAATCAAGTATATTAAATTAAAGCCAACCTACTACATATATAGAAAGCTACATATATCTATATATAAATATTTACATATGTATATATAGATACTTTCTTGTTATAAAAGATGAAGAAAAATAAATTAAAAAGCCAACCCCTTCCCTTTCTCCATCACATTGATATGCTCTTTTCATGTTGCTGTCCTTCAGACTTTAAAGTGCTACACTGAGTTATTGAGAGAGTAAGAGTTCAATAACACTTAGTTGGCTTCATGAGGCTCATGTTGGAAAATGTGGCTTCACAGAGAAAAATACTTCCATTTAAATACACAGAGAGCATTGCTGGACGTCTTGAGCAGATCTTCAGAGATGGAGAAGAAAGCAAAAGTGTTGGGTGGTACTCTTAAGAGTCACACGTCTACCACCATCTTTTTGTGGATATCTAGGCCACCTACGACCTGCAACAGATAGGAACAAATCAAGCTTAACAATGTTTCAGAAATTTCTTTTTAGTAGTCTGCCTTATCAAACTACAATTTAAAAAACATATTCCTTTAGCCATTTTCAGAAAGTGGATTAAAAAAAAAGACAACCTAAGTGACCTCCAGTTAGAGTTTTCATGGTTTCTTTCTCCTAGGAAAACAGGTATTATTTTTTTGTGTTCTAGTACAAAGGTCAGCAATATTATTCTGTTATGGTACAGATAGTAAATATTTTAGGCTTTGTAGGCCACATATAATTTCTTTTGCATCTTCTTTTTCTTTTTTTAAAAAAAATAACACTTTCGAAATGTAAAAACTCTTCTTAGCTCGAAGACATACACAAACAGTCCATGGGCAGGATTTGGCTTGCTCTATAGTTTCTTGACCCTTACTCTAAGCAGTTTAGTATCACAGGATAACCAGAAGCTATCATAAAAATTGTCCTAAAAAAATCAAATATGGGCTTCACTGTCAGTCTGTTCTAGAAAGAAAAAATATCAAATGAATAAAAATTTCTACACACTGTTTTTCCATGGAATCAAATACATGTAAGAGTTATATACATCTCAGACAATACTGACATGGTAATCTAAAAGTATAATCATCTATATTATTTTAGGGGAATGTTTTATTAAATATAACCTACATAAAGAGAATATATAAGTCAAAAATGTCCATGGCTTGATGAATTTTCAGAGTGAACACAAAGTAAACAATAACAAGTGCCCAAAACCATTACCAGGACTTGTCTTTGGTCGTCCCCTTCCAGACACCATCTACCTCCCCTCCTCCGCCCTAACACACACACACACACACACACACACACACACACACGGTAGCTACTAGCCTTGACTTTTAACACCACAGAATAATTCTGTCTGTTTTTGTATATTTATAAATGGAATTTCTTTTGTGTCTGCTTCTTTCACTTAACATTATATTTGTGAGATTAATCCATGTTGTTGTGTACAGATGTATCTGTTTTATTTTTAAACTTATTCACACTGCCCTCATTCTCTATTTCCTCTTATGCAGAGGCAATAACTTAAAATTTTCAGCTTTCAGTATTTACCTCCAGGTCTCCAAATAACATTCCTACAGTTCCTCTTCTTAATTTTGAAGCTTTAGCCATTATCTATTAACTTCCCACTCCAGAAGATGAAGATCTTAACTTTTACACACACCTATTTCCTACCCCCTATACTTCCCACCATTCCGATGGTTATATATTTATGTTGATTAGATGGAAATTCAGCATTTTACACTGCTCTATGTAATACTATTTACAGCTGAAAGAATTGTGTACTATGATTACTTTTTCTTTCCTGCATATTTGTTTTGGTGCAGTTAATAACCATCTGATCTTTTCCTTTGCTGGGTGTTCTATGTATTTATCATTAACATTAACTTAGCCCAAAACTTTTGTTCCAAATATATTCAAAAAATATATTATGTGATTCTATCTATTTTATTATCTTAAAAGCACTCTCCGAGCCCACAGCTGTACTCTACACTGTCTGCTCTCCAGGTCTGTCATCTCTGGCTCTCCCTTCACCACCACCCTGTAGGTCTCCTCTCTCAAGCTAGACCCTTGCTTCCTGGATCCTACATGCTCTTCTTTTTTTATTTACACATGATGCCTTATATCCCTGAAAATGTCTTTCTTCTACTGTCTAATTTAATTGAGTTCGTAGCGAATTTTAGGTTGGGAATAACTGTCCCTGAGAATTGCAAAGGCAATGCTCCACTGTCTTTTGGTTTCCAACTTTGCCTCTGAGAAAGTTGGTGCCATCACCATTCTTGATTCTTTGTATGAAGCCCCTTTCCCATCCCTCTACCCGATCACCCCAGCTCTTTGGAAATTTGCAAAACCACCTCTACATTCCCACTGTTTTGAAATTTCATGACAATGTGCCTAGGTCCAGATTATTTTCATATACCTTGCTGGGTATTCAGTAAGTCCTTTCAGTCTGACAGAAAACATATTACTTTTGATTCTGAGGTAGTCTCTTGATTCAGTTTTGATGATTTCCTTCCCCCCATTTTCTTTCTGAAATCCCTACGAGTGGGTGTTACAGCTCTTAAAATGGACATTTACATTTAAATTTCTAAGAGCTCTTTTACATATTATCCAATTTTTGTTTCAAGGATTCAATATACTGCCTCCCTAAGGGTAACAATGACAGGTTTTTGTTTTGCTTTAAAGCTTTTACTGGCTTTGCCAGTAAAATGGAACCTGTTTGTTCCAAGCTTATTTTTTGGATTTGGTTTTGTTTCAATATTCCATATTAGAAGTTTTCCTACTAGGTCTGGTGATCCTTGGCTCTGCTTCTGTGGAAAGGGCACTGGAGCCTCTCTGTACATGATGAGGCTGTTGACTGTGAGCTACGATGTGAGTGATCTGCTGGGACCATTTCTTTGGGAGGTAAGATTGCCTAAAGAAGGCTCTTTCCCACCTCTCACCTAGAAGGTATAAATCCCAGATGCCTGGGAGTCAGGTAGGTCCAGGAAGAAGGGCTGGAGGTGTCAACATGCAAATATGCTTATTTTCACTTAATTCCTCAACACACACACAACACCCTTATCAGTGCCTCCTGTTTCCCGGCCTAGAGACTCTACTCAGTATCCCACTAGGCTGCAGAAGAGATAGCTGCCCAGCTGAACAAAGTAAGGGAAGAAATCGAGTGTTTCAATTCCTTCTTAAAACAGACTTTGACCAATTCTCCTGTTTTTTAGCCTCACCTTCCTCTCCACTTTCAGAGTTATTCATGCCACTAATTTCTGAGCCTTTTTCAGGGATTCTCCATTATAAACCAGGTTGCTTCTCAGATTTCTAAGCTGATAGCTTAAAATTGTTCTACTAGGTTAGTAAACCATTCAGCATTCTAAATTACCACACTTAATGCTGTTTTCTCTGATGTCACTTTGTCCTTGTGAGTTCATAACCTTTTCTTTTTAATCCATTTCATTTCATTGAAGTTTTAAGAGGAAGCAAAAATAAATACATGGGTTCAATCCACCAACTTTAATCCTGTCACTATCATTTTTAAGATTTGTATATGCTAAATACACTAAAAATTTTAAAGCACATACATAGCACATAACCTTTTAAAATAGCTTTTCCCATCTCTTTTATTGTTACACCTTTAGAAGTCAGAATAAAAAGAACTCAATGAAGCCAAATATATGTCTGATTAATGAAGATGGTTTTAAATACTAAATAAACATTTTTCTCCATTCACAGACTATGCTCCTCAAAAATACAAGCAAGAGCAATGTTTTAGTATTACAAATCTTGGAAAATGAACTCAGGCTTAGCTTAGGTCTTTTACTTCCACTGGTAAGTGATGCCTTTGTTACATTTTATATTTACTAAATGCAAGCAGTCTTCATTCATATATTATACATCCCCCTCCAAAAGTTTACCATTTATTCTGTTCCCCCAAGGCTTAGGGTTTCTTCTTTTCTTTCCTTCTTTTGAAAATTGGCTGCTATCTATGATGCCACTACCAGCCTGGTCTCGTGTCACACTTAACCACATGCTGGTCCACAGGGGTCCTTTAGTGATCTCTGGCAATGATGAAGGAGAAGCAGAAGGGACAGCAAACACTTGTAGCAGAACCACCTGGAGAGCCTCAAGTTTCAAGTCCACCTAACTTTTTCAAAAAGATGGCCTATTCTTTACACTAGAGCAACATCCCACCTTTTGAAACAAAATGCAAAGATAGTTTTCCCTTTTGATGAAGGAAGATGCCCAAAGGATAGTATGAACTTCTACTAAATGCCAAAGTAGCTACACTTCAGTCCTTGCATAACACACAACTATCGAAGTCACCTGTTTTTTTCTCTTGAGATTTAATTAAAAAAAAAAAAAAGAAAGAAAGAAAGAAAAGAAGGGGAGGGAAGGAAATCTTCCCATAGAAGTATCCAATCATGCTTGACCAAAAAAGTTTAAAACTTTTAAATTTTTGCCTCTACTCTGGATGCTCCAGTATTCTCTAGTGTTTCTAGCTTGCAGTTAAAAATCTTTATAACCCATCAAAAAGCTACCATCTTTGCTTTAAAAGCAGAAGGTGAGAAGAGAAGCTAAGTGGTTGTACTCCTGTTTGAAAGCAAAAAGTTGCAGCAAAACCCTGGGACCCCTAAAGAAAGGCAGTCAACTGGGAAGCCAAGTGGTTGCCCCAGTTTCCATTTAGAGTTAGTATTCTAGGGCTCCATCCCTACCTGGGCCCTTGCTCCAGAACACAAGAAGTACCCATCAATAAGCTTGGAAAAGGAGGGGGAGAAAAATCATGCCTTACACTGCCTAGCAGGTGAGTTTACGACAGACAACGACTCTCCATTTCTGTTGTCCCTACTAAGCCAAGTTTCTCATATTCCCACCTGAAATCCATGAACACGTATTTCCCACGGAAGTATTTCCAAACATGTTTATTTTTAAATGAACTTTAAGAATATAACCTAGTTGTAATTTGGGGGTTACCAACAATAAGTTACTAGTATCATTCTTGTGGCATTTGATCAGAGGATTACTAAGAATACCAATTCTTGAGAATAATAATTATTAATTACTAACATTTACAACAAAGAACACACTTCAAAACTTTGAATATAGGACAATTAGGCAAAATCAAATACATACATTTTTAGAACAAAATGCCTGTAAGCAATTCTCTATTAGGTGGTTTTTAAAACATGTTATTAAAATGTAACTAATGAAAAAGAACCAGCTTTTATACTTACAGCACAAAATTCTTCAAAGGATATTCTTCCATCTCCATCCTTATCTGCATTTATTATGGTTTTGTCTACAATTTGCTGTAACTGTGTATCTTTCAGATTGTTCCCCACCATCATCTTCAACACCTGGAAGAGTTCCCCATTGGAAATATAGCCATCTTTATCCATGTCATAGATACGAAAAGCAACTAAAACAAGAGGAAAAAAAATCAATGGGAATTGTAAGGCAATAATCACAAGCGAATACTTGCAATGAGTAGGAGTATGAACTATAGAGTCAAGACTGCCTGGGACAATTACTGTAGCCTAGATAAGTTATTTAATTTTTCTAAGCTTCAGTTTTTGTACAGATAAAACTAAGGATAATAATAGTTCCAACCTCTCAGGTTCTTTAGAACATTTCTTCTCACTTTCATCATAAAATCTCTTAGCCAAGTTACATATGTAGTTTATATGACTGTTTTCAGTAAAAGGAAATTCTGCTTTCCTTCTATCTAACTAAAAGCAACAATGACACACTATTCAAACATACTGGTTGTAAGTGTCCTGAAAAGATTTTTCACCAGAATGTAAAATTTCTGTTATGTCTAAGAGTAACAGTCTGGAATAAAAGACATCTTTAAGAATATTTTAGAAGAATTTTATAATGCAGTATGGAATGGTAGGGATATGAGACAAAAGGAAGCCAGCGAAGAAAAACACTTACACCTCAACTTCTGCTCCTTATCTCCTTTGACACTGAACTGAGAGACTCCCTCAATGAATTCTGAAATAAGAGTTAAAAATGTTTACAAATCAGAACTTTCAATTTTTTACACAGAAAGATATTTACCTTACATACCCACAAAAGGATATTTCCTTGTTACAAAACAAAATATACTAGCAGTGTTTAAAAATGAAAATGCCAAATTTGAAATCTCAATAAACAAGGTTCTATGTATTTTTTTCTTATTTGAAGTTGATGTTCTCTAAGGTCAAACTGAACAAATATTTGTCAATTACCACAAAGTGTAACACTCAAAAACATATTCTTTAAGCTATTTAACTCTTTCATCTTAGAATATGACTATAAAAAGGGACTTAACACTATAAATTGTTTTGACACAACAAAAATAATTCTAGATTTGTTTCCAAACTCAGAATCACTTAAACACATTGTTAGAAGTTTTATGACAAATGATCATTTTTCTTCATTGCCTACTACGCACTAAATCATCAGTTTTAGATGCCTTCACTTTTAATTCAGTTCCCCAAACTAAAATAACATCTGCTGACAATTTCCTGGTAAAATGTTTATTTACTTGTAAGTATAGAATCAAATATAAAATTATGTATCGTGTTAATGTTAGCAATAGCACTATTGTGTGTCTTTATAAAATCTAGATTAACTAAATTAATCTTGTTCTATGATAATGTGCACACACCCTTACTACTACAGTTTATTTTTCATTGCTGACTTAGTATAAGTCTCATTCTATACTTAGTATACTATACTATAATGCAGCTTCTCATGTTGTATAAACTGCCTTAAAGTGAGATGAACTTTCTAAAAACAATGGAAATATTTAATCATATCACGCATTTTGAGGTTCAACATAATCTATTATTATAAGATCACAAAGAATATAAAGACAGTAAGGAAAAACTAGAATTTTCAAACATTTTTGTGCCTAGAGCTATACACAAGTTAACTTTTTGTGATTAAAAACAATGAACACAACTCTTTCTTACCTTTGAAGTCTACTTCTCCATTCCCATCTGTGTCGAATATATCTATTACTCGCTGTACTAAAGGATTCTGTTGTAACTCAGGCAGAGACATGAACTCTTCCACACTCAAAGAACCAGAATTGTCCAAATCGAGCTTCTTAAATCTCTTTCCTAACCTTTTAATCTCATCCGCATCAACTAGAAGCAAAGGAAAAAAGTAGCAAGATTATTAAAAATGATTTTATGATCGTTTTAGGGGAAAAAACAGCACTTATCCAATGATTTAATTTCCAATTTGATTAAAAGAGTTATATTTACTGTTGACTAATTTCTAATAGAGAAAATCTATCATATTTTTGCTTACCTTTCTTTTTGTTTGCACCTGCCATTACATACAGCCCACTGTACGCTGAGTCCCAAGATATTCTAGGATTGACCATGCTAAGCTGATCACAGAGGTCACACAAGTTATTCCAGGACTACCAATGATAAGCTGATCATGGAGGTCCCACTAGACAAGCTACATTAACCCCTGTTCTGTACACCAAACCACTTTTATTTTCATTGCTCTTTTTAAATTTTAATAGACTTTATTTCTAAAGTAAATAGCTCAAAACCAAAGGGTATTCAAAATTTCCTTCCCATCCCACTCTAAGACATCCAGCTCCCTTCCTTGGAGGCAATGCTGCCAGTTTCTTGAATATTCTTCCTGAGGTACTCTTTCCAAGTATGAGCAAATAAAACACAGCTTTTACTTCTCTTATCCAAAAACAAAAACAGAAAAGCTAACAAAATTCACTTTTCAACACTTTAAAAGCGAAAAAAATAACAATTTAAGAAATGTTTGTATTACTTTGTAAGTCTTCTATAAAAATTCATTATCATCTTTTATCATATGCATTCTTAAAAAACGTTTAAGTCATTTTCTTCTAAATTATATCATTTCATTCTTCTAAAATATCAGACTAATTCACATAATTTTGATCATGGCTTAACAGAAATAATACATACAAATGCATTTAAAAATTAAATACAACCAACAACTTTTTAAAAGAAAATTAACAAGGCAAATATTACACTGCCCATGAATACATATGTATTATGGCCCCAAATATTAGCAACAAGACTGCAAAAATGCTGTTTTGACAGCTTAAATATATGGCATCCTCATTGTAAGAACCCAAAAATTAAAGTATATATATATATATATATATATTTTCATTTTGACTTTATTTTTTTTTTATTTCGGCATATTATGGGGGTACAGATTTTAAGGTTTCAATAAATGCCCATTTCCCCCCTAAAGTATATATTTTTAAGCTATAAAAATTTATACTAAAATGGAATGGAACTATGATTATCTGCACTATTAAAGTAAAAACTGACCAACTACAAGATGGTACTGTAATGTGAATCAGCACATATGTAACTGATAGAGGAGAGTGATGTCAGTACAGCATAGAAATTTCATTGGTTCATTGGGATTTTTACCAGTATGTTATAAAGGGATCAGGGACAAGTTTCTCCATTAAAAAGAAAGCCTTAATATATGAGACCTCAAAAGAAAGTGGCGAAACAATAATTGCCTCCCTTTAGAGAAAACAAGAGCAAGTTTAGTGGCTTCAAGAACCTTAAGACTTTCCAATATTATGTTAACTGGTGAAAACTAAGGGTGCAGATGAAGTTGTAAAGACAGCTTTTCTTGTTTTAGCCTTCCCCCTAAACCCCCAAAACTATCAATAAAGGTCGCTATACACTGGCTCATTGTTAATTTCTATAAAATTAGTTTCTACTGAAGCAAATAACTTTAAGAACCTGTACCTCAAAACAGGAAAAACAAGTCCCAGTTTAAGGTTCATAAATGATGGGCTATGGTGTTTAATACAAATGCCAGAGTTAATCTGTATTTGTATTTTTAAGATCACTATTATTTATGTCAGTAGTCTGTTACAAAGCTGCATAATTCAAGTTTTCTACCCTATCCATATTTTCCCCAGATATGTGATTTTGCAGCATGTGAGGTTTTTCAGGAACACATATATTGTCTTACATCAGAAATGCCTTTACATTGGTTTAATGAAAAAATCATCTTAAATACTGCTGCAAATGGTAAAACACACATACAGTCATGCATTGCTTAACAACAAAATCATGTCCTGAGAAATGTGTCATTTGGCAATTCTGTCATTGTGCGAACTTCATACAGTATACTTACACACACCTAGATAGTTTAGCCTAAATATTTTCAGTGAGTATTAATTATAAGTTTTTCAGACTTAAAACTTACTGATTAAAATAACCCATCAATATTTAAAGTAAAACTCTACTTATCTAACCAGACATCAGTAAACCATTCAGAAGTTTCTTAAAGTTCACAGATTTTGCTGAAAGCTATCCTCTCTGTGCTTGTTTTAATTTTATATACATATCAAAGATTAGTTAACTATATTCTTCTTGTAATCTTTAGTTCTGCCTTAGCTTACAACCACAGACCAGAAAAGGTGATGGGAAAACTGAACAAAATAGATCACTAAGATACATCAGAAGTAGACCAGAAAAGACATAGACTGTATCATTGATGGAAGGCAGAAATGTAGTACCATAATATTTACAGAAAGTATTTACTAGACTATATTTATTGAAGCTGGGTCATGTAAAATAGTTTAGAAAGCTGTCTATTAAGAGACTGAAATTGAGGCACTTGAAAGATCATGTTTCAGTAACTTAGCAAAACCCTCTAATTTGGAAGACAGCATTGCAGTCTTGATAAATGAATAAGGTATATTAACCCTGGAGAATATAAAGAAATCATAAATCATCAAATAAATATATTTCATTCAATCCATCCTTCTTTACACTGCAGATAGCAATCTTTCTAAAAGGCGAATTCAGTCAAATTGCTAGCTCCTCCTTTCCTAATGTAAACAGAATAAAAAGCCTAAAGCTACTGACAATATTTAGCTTTAATATAAATTTCCATCTTATCTCTTCCCCCATTTCCTTTTCTTTAGCTACAATATTTTTGGTACAATTCTGTTACAGTATAAATTCTAAACCTCCACATTTCCTTATAAACTATCTAGAAATGTCCTTGCCTAACTCTCCATTTATGAGACTCCTACCAAGTTTTCTCTGATTAAAGAAAGGGGGTTGTTATTAACAATATATTGTATAGTTAGTTGTATCATCAGCTCACACTCTCTGGCTAATGTCCTTAAAGCATTATGTAAAATCTATTTACTTTCTTTTGCTTTAAATAGCTTATGAAATATCATAAAGTAGTTGATACCTGTCCAGGATTAGTTAAAACCTTTCTTAAAGGCAGCAATTGTGCCAGTAACCATAATTTACCTTGGCAATAAATGGTTTCTTAAATGACTTGGAGGGAAGAAGCTCTATCTATTTACTCTTTCCATTCTTTACCATTCCTATGTACCCTATGCAGCTAAACTGACCTTGAGTTTCTTTAAGAAGCCAGTGCAGTATGTTAAGAGGCAGTCAGTGTCGGTTCTACAACCACCCATTTATTTCCTCCTTCTCTCCCGCCTCTTCCTTTCAACTAGGATTACAGTGAGTAATACAAACTCAGTATTTACTATCTAGTTGAGGCTACCTGAGCAGCTAGGAGTTCATATTTAAATATCTAGAATAGTTAAAAATGGCTAGCTTGAAAAGCAATGCCACAAATATTTTTTAAAGGCAAGATCTAAGAAAGCTTGCTTTCAAAAACAAATGGTAAAAAATAGTTCTTTTAGGTATCAAATGAAGTGACTTGGTTGTTACTATCACCAGAGAAGCAGTTATTCAAACACTTTCACTTGGATGTGTTGCAGGATATTAAAGTATAAAATGGGGTTTTAATTCTTGAAATATCAGTAGTTAGCAATCTCCTACAAATTAAGCTCAGATCTCTAAAAAAGATCAAACCCATCTTGTTAGCACCATTTAATGTTTCAGTACCAATGTTCTGAACTTAGCACCAGTTAAAATACTGAAGAACAAATTTCAACTAACTTTTGGTGCCACCTTTCATTAAAGATTTTCATTCCTACTGCTTAGGATCATACTCCCTTAAAACAGATGGACCAGGAAAAACAAACAAACCTCACCCTCTTGACTCATCTTGTGACTCAGAGATACCCTTTTTCACATGTTTTGCCAAGTTGCAACTCATGTTATTTTTCCACTCTTTGGAAGGACATCTTTGGGGAAACTACCTGTTTTAATAGCTGAACATGCCTACATATTTAATTTAAATTATAATAGACAAGGTATTACAATAAAGAATTTTAAATTCATATATACTGTTACCTAAAATTTAAGCAAGACAGTAAACATTTAAATCTTTCAGTTTGAGTTTATGAAATATAAAAATACGTAATAAGGCACTGATGTAATGCTTACAAAAAAGCCACCAAATTAAACTGCTGAGACCGTACACCTGGATCAATGCACCGAGTATTCTCAGGGATAAATGTGAAATTTGGATGGTAACTCAGTTTAACATGTGATTTCAAGAATTTTATTCATCTTATAAAATGATTAAGAATTTGCATTTAGAGAGTTCACGTTGCTATAGTAAATTTTAGTATTTTCAACTGGACATATTAATACTAGAGCAATACTAATAGAAATAGAAGGTTACATATTTATTCATCACCTTTCACATGGAGAAACATAAACCATATCCCTTTATTATACTTATCTATTTCTCTCATTTAGAAAAAAGGAATATAAAGAGATTCCAAAACAGTGAAGAAAAGACCAAGGTCTCTGGCTCTTAAAACATTGCTATTAATACATACACAACAAGCTGCCACTGAACTGTTAGGACTAAAAGCAAAAACAACTTGAGGTCTAAACTCTTTTAGATGATTTTTAAGTTTCTCAAATAAAAAGAAAGAAATGGAATGATGGAAAATAAACTTTCCTCAAATTTTAGCCAATTCCCAATAACTATGTAGTAAAACACAGCAACAGACTACTGCTCCTTCAGGAAATTCTTTTAACAGCTACTTTATAAATAATTTATTACCTATTAAAAGACTAATTCATGATTTAACAACAAAAACAAGATTAAGCAAGTCTTTTTAAATTTTCCTAACAAAAATATTTTGAAAGAAACAACTAAATTACATGTGGGATCCAGGAGAGAATCCTGGGAAAAGAAAAGAAAAACCACTTTAAATTTCAACAGT